ACTTTTTACACAAGTTCTTGTAATTTGTTATACATTTCATATTTTCGAATAACAAGGTATTATTAATCGAACAGTAGTAATTAATATCAATAATTAGTCGATATCAATCATAAATAGCTTTTTTCTTTTAACAATGAATATAACGATTATTATATTTTTATTTACTATCTTTTTGGTTAAGAGTATAATATTATTATTATTATTATATAAAAAATAAAGTTAAGTATGAAATAATTAAATTATTTAATGATGAAAGAAGAATTAAACTGTTTCTACGTGTTTTCTCAGTTTGTGTTTTTAACGTAAATAAATATTGTTAGAAGTAAATCTATTTCTTATAAGTACAATAATAACATCTGTTGGTAAATTATGTAGATGTCAAGTACAGCAAAAAGTTTGGTTTCATTTATTCTTTCGTGTCAGTATTATTACTTACTTATTTTCTATAGATTATATATTATCTGCGAATCAAGTTTTGTTGTCGCTTGATGATAAATCGTCGCCATTTTAATAATTTCAATAGTTGCAATAGCGCACGTTATTTAAATATTCGAAACGCGTGACCGTCGGTTTTAGTTCCTGATTTAGTAATAGCAAGGCACCCTTGGTGAAATACTCCATTAGATTAAATGGTCATTCGAGCAAAGAAAGATTTATAAACAAGAATGCAGCTAAAAACAATAAAAGGGGACATTTGAATGTATCCCCCAAACTTATAAACTGTATAGTCCTCTTAAGCGGGGACTGCGAAAAGAAAAGGATATTTTGACAAGGCTCTTCTCGACAGCGATGATTTAGGGCTACGTTACACGCAGTGTTCACTTTTATACCGTTCTCCCTTGAGCCATCTACGCTGGATCACGCCACAGGCTTGGACACCTGGAGGAAAGCGTTCACTGCATCACAACTCACGTCGAGATCCAATCTGAAGGGTAACTTCCTTCTTCATACGCAACGCCTCCTTGAAGGAAGGAAGCTACCCTTCAGATTGAACCTTCTGAACCACAGAATTTCATATTTTGCTATATCAGGAATTATAACGAAGGAGTAAAGAGAATCCTCAGAGTTACTTTGGCTTTGATACCAACCAGGTATAGAGAAATCACGAAATCCATTTAACTCTTACTTATTTCGATAAAAGTTCTCATCCTTATCTCACATACTCGGGAGTTTAGTACTTCGTTATTTGCGTTTGTCTCTTCCTGCGGACTTCCATAAATTGTGGCGATGCCGCACTGTCGAAAAGACGCACGAGTCACCTTCGCGGCGGTTAATCCTAAATCTGGGGAAACCTGTTTAAGGTACGTGGGCGTCAAGAAAAGTGTCATTTTCGTTCCCCTAAGAAAAGAGGAAAACCGTATGCAGAATCCGTTGGACAGACGTAGAATGTGATCGCGTGTAAACAGTTAGCAAAATATAGCGTATATATGTACATAATCACAAAGCCGTTACTCAAAAGCCATTCTTCGTCTTTTTAACTCCTAAATTGCGCATAAAGTATATTTGTAATAATTAGCGAACGATAATTAATTCTTTCCTCGCGAAAAACTGAAAAATCTACTTTACCAACACGCAACCCAACCCGCATTCCCGCTAGAGTCGCTATAAAATTAGGACAGTTCGTGCCATCTAAGAGGCAACTAGAACATTATTAACCGGTACAAACGGAACAAACTTCTCAGTATATTTACATATGTACATGTATAGATATATATGTATATTAAAATATGTATATTGTTTAGAATTTACAAGTGTCCAAGTAATTATTAATTATTTGTGCGTATAAATGAATATAATATCTCAATCCTTTGACCGCTTAAAATTCTTGTATATTTTAATTGCTAATGGAAAGATTTACTGAAAATCGAAAATTCGGTAGTGACCTTTATACCTCTATTAACATAATGTTGACCTTTGCCTGTAATGAAAACCAGTCAGTTGATATATTTTTACAAAAATGTTTTTAAAGTAAATTTGCGGAACATTGTAATAATAGTTTCACGTTAATTTAATTTACAGCACATATTCGTGTGTCAACAAAGATATCCGTCAGTTATAGATATTCTTACTAATATTAATGTTAAATGACAATATATGTACGTGTTTGAAATGTTAAATACTCAATTATTTCGCTGCCATAAACATTTTTTCTATACTCGCTTTTAGTGTGTTATCATATTGCTCCTGACATTGACAGTTATGTTACTTCGAAAATGTTTTTTTGCCAGATTGTTCAATATATTCCGACTATAGATTAATTATATTCTATTGTGGATATTATCGTGAAATATGGATAACGTGACAGTGAGTAATGAATTTTATTTCCAATAAAAGCACATGTGTTTGTAAACCTTTATATATTATTATTTATCTTTTCTTTTTTAATTATGTTTATATCTAAATTTACAGTCAAATACGCTATATACATTTTTGTTTTATATGTTTTTGATAATACAAGCTTTGTATCCATATATACATGTATTACGCACTTGTATATTTAAGAATTAATAATTTTATACTGAAATGATTTTTGATGATATTTATGTAATAACATATTGATATATATTGTGTTATAATTCTAGGGAATAATACGTGCCATATATCGAGGATTTGTAGATAGCTTAAGGGGAGCTATTGTTTTATTTTATATGGACAAACATATTAATGAAAAATTACTTAAACAACCGTCTTCTAAAGAAATTCATAGAAAAGACATAACTGTTGCAACTCCTCCCCAAAAACATTTCACTCAGTTAAGGTATAGTTTAATTATAAAGTTATGCAAATTATACACATATACTTCAATTATAAAATACTAATATTATGTTATATATGATATGTTTTCAGAGAATCAAAAGTGTTGAAACGAACAATTCAGTGTTGTGCTTTAAATGGTGGTGTATTTTGGGCTAGCATATTAATCTTTGAATGTGGTTTACTCCCATTTCTTAAGTACTTATTGACCATTATATTTGGCCATTCACCGGGTATGGGTATGACTGTATGGTCTTGGATGAAACCATTCCTGTCATTAACTTTTGGCACTGTATGGGTACTACCACTATTTGTGCTCAGTAGGATAGTCAACAGTTTATGGTTTCAGGTATGAATTATTTGATCTCAGAACGAGAAGCTTTGGCCAGTAACCATTGAAGGTTAATATCACATGCTATATATTTGTAAACCATGTAGGATATAGCAGACAGCGCTTATAGGTATAGACAAGGGAGGCCATTACTTTTATCCAGTGTGAGCAAGCTTGTAGCAGACACGCTTTTCAGTATATTGGTTCAAGCATTATTTTTGGGTCAAGGAATGTTAGTATCTAGGATTCCGTTACCTCCTATAGGTGACATCCTTGCTCTTATACATATGTGCCTTTTATATGCTCTCTATGCTTTTGAATACAAATGGTTTAATATGGGTTGGGAGTTACACAGACGATTGAGTTTTATCGAGAGCAATTGGCCATATTTCGTGGGTTTTGGTCTGCCATTAGCAGTACTTACCCAACTGCCCAGTTCGTATGTAATAAGGTAATCAATCGTTTAAAACGTTTTGTCTTCCTTTTTATGTGGGAACTTTTAATGATTATTATTTATTTTAGTGGCTGTGTATTTTCTATACTATTCCCATTATTTATTGTAAGTGGAAATGAAGCAGTACCTGTGACTGGCGTATGGTACATATTTTAATGTTATTAAACCATGTACATGCATATAATAATAATACTTCATAATTTTAATTCTTTGTTTTAGTGATTGTCCATTAAGACTATTTTCGCCTGTAATTGCTATTGCAAATACATTTTTCAATAAAACGATTGGATCCACAAACAGGCGGTGACAGAAAAAGATATAATAAATTTCTGTGGGATAATAAATATGTAGCAATAAATTGTACCTTTTCAGGTTTTCACATAAGTTTTATTATTTTTTATAAGGCATATGCTTAATTAATTTTTTTGTGTTAACTCTTATGTTGTCTGTGGGATTGTGAATAAGGTTTATATTTTCTTAATTTTCTATAACATTGTAAACAAAATTAGCGATATGATCTATGTATTAATAGCGTTATTTGTAAATAGAAATACAGTCATAAACTATGTATGTAAATATGCAGAAACGAATTGCAGGAAGGAGTCTTTGTAAACGCATTATATTGAGTAAAATGTTCAAGACATATGTTAACAGTAAAGAATTTCTAAACTTGGTAACATTTAAAAAGTCATTATAGATGTTCCTTATTGTATTGCAAAGGATAAAAGTAACTTGCAATTTTATACATTTTTATTATTATTATTATTAAATGAAAAATATAATATGCTTGGGGTTAGGTTTATAAATAATTGTATAAAATTTGTAATACTGTTTATAAGTTACATAACTGGAAAAATATAAATACAGTTGCTCACACATTTGTACAACGAAAAATAATTTTTTTGTTAAACATTGATTGATACATATGTATAGTTATTTATTCATTCTTTATTCAAATTTGTAGAGATATGTTGCTTTATACAATACACAAACCTTGATAGATAATACTACAGTAATTTGTTTCTATATTACTATTTCTATTTCTTAAATCACAAAATACGTAATATTATTAATTTAATATTAATTATAATTGTAAAATATTTAAAATTAAAACTAAAGTTGATTTATTTAATCACATTCGCAAAATAGCAAAAATTATTTTTACGACAAAATCTGTTTACATTGACATGCAATTGAAATTTGTTTAAAATGACGTAGTTTTATAATAATACAATGTAATCAAAATTATAATATATCCATTCAATATTTACAAGATAACATTCTGCAAATAACAAATTATTTATTGTAATTTTATTTATATATTATTTTAATAAGATAAAAGTAAATTGTTTTGCATACTATACGTAGCATAATACATAGCACAAAATAATTTTTGAAATAAACGTTGCTAATTTTAACAGATTTTCTATCTTCTTTATATAAAAAATTAATATATGCATAATTTAAAAATTGATGTTCAATACCAATACATAAAGCAAAATAATATTTTTTCTGAAAATTAAAAATTCTTTTTATTAACAATATAAAAGTCACGAAAGAAGCTCTTGAAGAGCTAAAAGATCACTATCAGATGGTTCTTCTTTAATTCTGTACGAATTTGCTAAAGCATAATGCCTATGTAAAGCAGCAAATCCAAGTCCTGGATCTGTTTCTTCTTCCATTACTGGACTTGTTCCTCTTTCCATTGGTTGATTCTTGCTTACCTAAGATTTGATTATAATTTCATTTATACACAGTTTTAATCATATGTAAATAAAATATTTAATTACATACTTCGAAACGTTGTTGTTTATACATAGCCAATTTACGAGTTCCAGGTGTGCTTTGTATAAGATTTTGTATAGTAGGATGTGAAATTCCAAAAAAATCAGCACCTTTTGGTGCTATTGTACGAAGTGCAAGAGAAATTGCCATTAATAATTTGGAATGACACTCATCAGGAGTAGAGCCAACCAGAGGCTGATCTAGATCATTATCAGATACAATTTCAAATCTGCAAGTAATCCAAAACGTTGTATATTTATATACATAAAATTATATTAATTATTAGTGTCACTATATACCTTGGTTTTGGTCCACCATCTAATATCTTACATGTATATAAACTTTTTGTTCTTACATCCCTTAAATTAGCATATACCCTAGTACTGCAGTAACCTACTGGATAAATGAGATCCTCTGTATGATAAGCTATTCTGTCCGATACTACTTCTCCAAGGGAGTAGACAGTAAGATCACCTAAAGAAATAGGAAATATAGGTCTCCCATGGACATCCAATGGTATTAATTGGACAACTTTCCTCGCAGTTTTATTGTAACGTTTAGCCTTATTTTTTGTTTCTAAAACAAATAAAAGTTTTATATTACTTATTTTGTTGATTTGATATACGCACAATGTCTCAATTACTTGGAATTATATTACATTACATTTGGTGTAACTGAATTTAGAATACTTCCATACCTGAGCCATCAGTCGAAGCTCTTTTCTTTGCAGTTTTTTTAGGAGTAGAGCATTCTGGATTAAACGAACTAGGATTAATACTGTTTGATTGAGATCGAGCTATCATAGTAGAGGGATCTATATCTCCTTGTTGTTGACATAATTTACGTAAAAGAAACAGTCTCTCTTCTTTCACAAGCATAAGATTTTCTTGCATTTGTGCAACTTGATCACATAATGCTGCATTTTCCTGTAATTATACATTTATTCAAAACTTCTGTAGTAACCAAATTTTGTTATTGTTTTCTTTTACTCATATTTTGATTAAAACAACAATACATCATCGCGAAAGAAATATTATCATAGTAAATAATCTTACGAATACTGTATCCTTTATGATCCTTTTTAACCTTCGGTATTTCTTTTTGTATTTTAAATTTTGCTGTAATTCTGCATTTTTTTTAAATTCATTGTAATAGTTATCATAAGTTTGAGTCATTGTGAATTCATTACATTAGACACAAAATATCGAAAGAGGTTATGATGGAGTGATGTTTGTGATTACTTCTTATCGCATATATATTAGTTTATGTCTATAACTAAGATAATGCAAAAGTTTGTACAGTAAGTACATACAGAAATGAGTAGAAAGACATCGCTGATGTAATGTTTAAAAAATCAGCGAAAATATGCGTAGTAAAGGGCCTCTAGCGGTCAACAGTTGCACTATATACACATTTCTTCTCCGCTGCTCTTGGTGAAACTACACGACAAAATGGGAAATGTGCATTTGTACCGGTGATTAATGAAGGGTAAGGGCGAAAAAACGTAAAAATTTCTTCAAAGTGATGAAATATTAGAAATAAGTTTATTTTTTCTTGTCGATTACAGAAGCAACATTCTGAATACCACAAGCTACTGACAATAATGAACATCAACAGTAGCAGCGATATTTTCAGAAATGATTGACAAGACAAGACAATATAAAATAACATCATTTCTTGTAAAATAATTATATAAAATCTATTTAGAAAGAGTTCCTACAAATCAGATTGTAATTTTGTAATTTTACAATAATTTCATTCTGTCGTTTGATCAATAGAACTAAAATAACTTTTCCCATATTGCAATTAGAAATGACGATCAAAAGTTGTATTCACGGTGCGCGACGCGGTTTACTGCTCATTTTCGAATCTCCACTCGTCAGTACATAACTTTAAACGTTTGCTTTCAGGAGGTATTCTAGTCTAGAGGCATGAATTTCGGGCGGTTTTTGAAGCTCTGTACAAACGAAACAAAAAATATTTTTACTATCCATTTTTTTATCATGTGTTTATTAATACTTTAAGATTACATAAGAAATTAACTGAAAAAAACTCAAAATTCACAAAGTTATATACTGGCAAAGTGGGAGGTCCAAAAAAGGGTGTCCTGGCGTGCATGATTTCAACCCTTCTGGTCATCTGAAGCAAAAAAGCCGAACGGATTCTTAATTAGTATAGATGCAGCTATAGCACGAACCTTGGCAAAGTCAAAAAAATATTTTTTCACAAAATGGCGGCCGTTTGAAAAAAATTTTCCTTTTTGGCATGTTTTTTAGGCAATTCCGAATTTTTAAAAAATAGTAAAATTAAAAATTTTGATCTGAGCATAGTTGAGGCGATAGAGGAATGTATAAAGAACATTCACACTAAATTTCAAATAAATCGGTTCATTAGAACTTGAGATATCGTGCACGCCAACTCGAAAAAAGTAGTTTCGAGAAAAACGCGTTTAAAGTTTTGACAAGTTTAGACAAGTAAAGACAAGTTTACTCGGACAACGTCTACCGTCTACTGTTCATTTGTTCCGGTCGGACCGGAGCAGATGCCGCGTCACAAAAATGGCTGTAACTCATAAAATAATTGAAATTTTGAAAAATCCTTCAAGGGCATATTCTTGAATGTTTAAACTTTGGAAATATAAAAAAACATTTTTTCGATTTTGCCAAATTTGTTGGCTAGAAACCCCCTTCAGTCAACTTTGTACGGCCCGGCACGAACTCAGATTTCTCATCTCGCTGTGTATACGCATATTTCTCCCACCAAACCAAAGCACCGGAGAAGGAAATGTGCGTATAGTTCGATTCTTTGACCGCTAAGGGGCGATAATTCGTGGAGCATATTTTTGGCTGAGTTTGTAATTTCCCTATTTATCTTTGCTACTTACGTAATTTGGAAAATTTATAACATGAATTATTAAATGTAATAATAATACAATGGTATACTTTCATTTATTTAAAATGAGTTAGCAAAAATAATTTTGTATATTAAATTATAAAAACAGTTTTTATATTTTTATATTTACCAGAGAGGAAATGAGAGAGCTCACGCCCATTGTTCTAATTCTACACTACAGATGCTGCACCACGCGGCCAAGCACTGAAGTTCCACGCTAGATAATTATTTAGTTCTTCCATAAACGAGCTATACTTGCTGTGATTCCACGTTATAAGAGCCTATTTCATTATACGTTTCTAAGGAAAACTATTATATTTGATATAGACAAATATGAGAATAACAAAATCGCACAATAATTAAACTTAATTGTCTTAGAAAGAGAAATTAATTGTTTATTTTTTTTTAGAAAAGAAAAGAGAACCTTTCCTTTAAGACCATGATGGATCAATAGAATGGTCAGTAGAATTTTAGTGTATTCTTCATACACAATAACTTTGTAGCTTTAACATTAAATTTACTTTCCTAGCGATAATGTTTCCGTTATAATAAAACTTGAATTTCATTTTAATAGTAATCTCAGTAGTTGATAGGCTGCGAATAATATTTCTGACGTGATGTATGTGTTTTGCATGCGTATTCGTTTACAGAAACGGTAAAAGCAAAAGAACAAGTTATCTGCAGACAAGATTTGATGTCATGACTAATTTGTTCATTAGGATATTTATCTGTAAGACAATGCTAAGAGCGAGTTTAGGCTAGTCGTGTTTACAGCACGTTCTGATGATATAAAAATGCCGAACTTGCGTAGTTTCGCTTCGACGTTCGTCTACAATGACGATTGTACAAAGAATGCCCGAATATGCTAAGCATCGCACTTGCAAAACGTTGGGGATCATTAGCCTACGACGCCGCACGGCGGAAGGCCTAATTTATAGCACCGAGTGCGAACGCTTCCTCTTCCTACAGCTGAGGGTGACGAAGGTTAAAGGAATTTCCACTACTATAAACAACAGGCCTTTATTTGCAGCAACTGCAGTATGGGGGTAGCCTCAGTCGGTTGGTGGATGCCGTTAACGGAATCCGTCCGTGACTTGTTATACCGCTGCGTATGGTTCTTTGCCAACAAGCCTTGATAGCTCATTCGGCTCCCTTCTTCTTGTAAGTGTATTCTATGATCGTGATCCAGCTTCGTCCCAGCTGCAACCGCATTTCATTCTAAACTGATAACCGGGATCAGTATTGTTTTTTTTTTTTGGTTACGTTCCAGGATGGGCCGCACCCGTCCCGTACAACCAAACGCCTTGGCTGGTTGCGTCCCAGAACGGACTGCGTCCGTCCTACAACCGGCACAGCACTCTTGCTCGTTGCGCTCCGAGATAGATCGCGCCCGCCTTCCATAAGCGAGGACACACTAACGTTTTTCCCGGTGCGTCTCAACCGACGAACTGTGTTCGCCCTACAACCGGATACAACAATCATCCTCTGTGTTTCTGGAGCGGTCTTCCTTTTCCAAGGTTGCGGCTCAATCCGGCACCCATCCTGTTCGATGTATTCGCGATCTCTAAGTCTAATCCAGGAGCGGTTACTCCACGGCCACGCTATCCTCTCGTTAATCGCTTTTCTGTATACAGAAAGAAATAGATATACATACATAGATATTCATACGATTCCCATTTCCTTACTGTTTTGATAGTCTTCTGGAGGCTATCAATTCTTGTAAGAGAAGATTTCTATTCCGAGTCACCGTGATCATCGTACTGATCATTGTGGTCGCGATACCGGCTTGCCCCAGCAACAGTGGCTGCTATCGACTGGAATCGTCTTACTCCTTCTTGCCCGTTTTCTATATCGTTGTATTTCTTGTATTTCTACATCTTGTATTTCTGAAGTAGCTTTCGACCAGTTTCGATTCGTTAATCAACCGCATCAGCACCAGCTGTTCTACCATATGTAACCAAGCATTTTCTCATCCTTATTGTACCTGTGTGTACTGTTCCTTTTGGATCTTTCGGTCTTCCGGGGCGAGTTACGCAATATTCTTCCGCAGTGGAGCCCAATCCGATCTACTTCCTCTTGCACCCTATTTAACAATCTAAAATTCAATTTGGAATTCGACTTTCAGCCACGGTCAGTCCTCGAAGTCTATCAACGCTTGCTTTGGCGTGGTGGTGACGACGACATCTCCTATTGTACATTGTAGTCGATGTACTTTATATTTTCTTTTCCTCGAGACCTCAGTCCTGCGAGCCTCTATCTACAATGGTGGTTGCGAGAGCGTTAACGATTGTCTTATTGTACTATTGGTACAGTCCATTCGCCCTTGGGTTGATCGTTGGGTAAGGTTCTAAATTACAGAGTCCCCAAACTGTAAAACTCGTTCCCCGACCACTAATTATCCCAATTATCTCTTTCTGAGGTAAACCCTGAGGAAAATAAGTTTAATTATTGTGCGATTTTGTTACTCTCGTGTTTGCCTATATCGAACAGAATAGTTTTCCTTAGAACCGTACAATGAAATAGGCTTTTGTAACGTGAAACTACAGTGAGATATACCTCGTTTATGGTGGAACTAAATAGGTTATTTGTACGTGCTAACGTGGAACCAAACAGAGCAGATCCCTAATTTTATAGGTTCTTGTGTATATAGCTTCGGCACTTCTTCGTTAGAGGCAGCACTAGTTCGGAGACAAACGGAATTATAAGCGTGAACGCTGTCATTTTCTCTCTATATTTATATACATATATGGTTAAAAAACTACTGAACTTTCAAAACTCTTTAAATTCCATGTTTAAATATAATTTTTCTTTTTATCAATATCATTATCGCCAATATCGCATTTAATTGTTAGTTTTCTTATCTGTAACTGAATAAAAATTTTATGTTTTTAAACTTGTATTTTATTATTTTTAGCGCGTTAAAGTAATTTTAAAGTAAAATATTATTTTTTATATGTAATATTTTCTGATTAAAAAAGTTAGGCAAAGGTATTCCCCAAAGTTTGGGATCCATCATTTAGAAATAAAAAATGTCAAGAGTATTCGTTCAATAACATTTGTTCGTCCCTCGTATAAGCAAATCATAATCGAATTTAAGTACATTTTATAAAACAAAATCTTTTAGGAAGATTGGTTCTGAGACACGAAAGGGAAGAAAAAGATTTAAAGTTTATTTCGAAAATACGATTTATTAACCTGTCGAACGTAAATTCTGTAACGCGCGCTCGCACGCACAATGTTCTTTCTGTCATGTTCATCTCTAAGTACATTCTCACGCACGCGGTATACAAAATCTATATTGTTACTATACTTAAACATCGTGACGCGTAGCTTATCCATTTAGACGTACACTATCCTAGGGATCGTGTTTTTAAGTTACTATGACGATTACAGTAACTCAGTCCGTCGAAGAATTTCCTTCATGCAATTATACGCGAATTTGCCGTGAGACACGTGCTTGGGTACATCCAAGTTATCTCCCTCGCTCTCGATTCCTTTTTTTCCTGTATGTACTCTATTAATCTTTACTCGTGTTAACTCATTACCGATATTCGTTAGAAACGATTATCCTTTTTGATAAATTTACTGTACAAATGCATTTGTTGCTTTTTTGCGCTTTAGAGAGAGAACGGGAATCATCGTTTGAAGTAGTTTTAAGATTAAGAAGGAAAGAAATTACGTTCACTTTAATATTTGTCGCCATATCCTAATTTTTACGTATTTAACTCTAATTACTTTTATTTTATACTGTATTACGTCATATTATTTGAAAATTGAGTGAAACTTTAAACTAAATTAAAGTATTAATCTCAATAAAAGGAAAAAGCAATTACTTCATATTTTTTATACCTTTCTCTATTACGTTAGGGTACCTACTATATTTTTCATGAAATGAGATATAAAATCTAACTTCGATGATTCCCAGTCGATAGAATCAACGAACTCATTCTTAATCGCATCTGTAATCTCCTTTACTGATTACAGCATCAAACGATTACTAACCGACTAACGCGTCAGTTATTACTAATATACGAATCACAGTTGCGATCAACAACTAACTGTTCATCGATCTTTCTCAAAAAATGTATATTTGACGAAAGTTCAAAATACAGTAAGAGTGAGGGAGAAAAAAGTGTGTACTCGACTTCACTCAGGGCACGTAAATAAATATTATACATTAATATAATTGAAGGCTCAGCGACTCAAGGGAAAAGTGGCACAAGTTCGTTTTTCTCAAAACGAGATAAGAACGATATATGGGCATGTATTTATCTGGACAATTTTGTTTCGAGATTTTGTCTTTGTGGAGTAGTATGTATATTGCGTAATGTGTTGTAATATTCTTCTCAAATTCAAGATTTCGTCACTTGTATTACTTTTCCTTCGAGTTTTTCGATTAATTATCTGAACAACTGATACCACTTTGAATTGTATCCCAGAAATTTTCTCTTAATTTCCTATGATACTCGAAAGAAATAAAAAAAAAAGGAGAGAAAAGTGAAAACGAATGATTCTGCTTGGAGTTTGGATTTCATTTTTGTCGGCACAGTCCATGCATGGTTTACGTAAGTACAACGGAGATCACTGTATGGAACGAATTATAGTCCGATATACATATACATACATACATCTATACGGCAGAGAGCAGTTTTCATTCTTTTCCAGATTTAACTACGTACAAAAAATATCCTTATCAGTTACATACGCTTTATGTACACAATGTACCTACGTGTTTCCTCCGATGATTGTAATAGTATAAGTGCGTGTGCGTACTGTACAACCTGTAGCCTATTTAACATCCAAACGAGAAAGATCACAATTTATGTATGTTTTATCTTTTCTTTTGTTTTTACAGAGACACGATGTCGAGTATAAGATGACACATAGTCTCTTTATACAGTGTGCCGCAAAACGACTTCAATCGAAATAGTATTAGCTTTTGTGTCTCGAGGGTTTTTTTTTTAGAGTACATTAATGAATTTGTTGTCAGGTTTTCAAAATTTTCTATAAAATGATACGAAAGTTGTATTTTTCTTTTAAGCGTAATTCAAAAGTTATATGAAAGACTTTGACACTAACTTATAAATATTGCGAGAAGATTCATATTTCATTTTGACAGTGCGAAGTACATAGTATAATCAAATACATACAAAATATTTTTATATTGTACAAATTGTACAGAGCGCATGAACAGTATAAGTAAAATATACGTAATAAAAGAAAATACGGAAATATAGTACTATAATTAGTATAATTAGTACTAATTGAATCATTTAAACGCAATCGTTTACTTTTGCGACACACTGTATATAGACTTTTAATTTCATTTTATAGATTACACTTTTCTCTTCCGTCGTTATCTCAATGTACATTAACGAATTATATGGATCATTCCATCTAACTTTCTTCTATCTAACTGAACGATATGACAAAAACGTATATCTTCGACTCTTGTCGTTCATAAACGCCCCTTTGGCCTTCCTATTGGCGTGTTTCGTTCGAAAATATTGCGACTCTCGCATCTTTTCTTCGATCCCTTTGTACATATTTAGAAGTCTTATTCTCTGTATATATATAATGTTTTTTTATGTATTTTGCGCGTTCTTCTCATCGATGACAATTTATATTATTGGAAATATTTATTGTATCGTTTGAACATATCGCTTATATCTGTTCTATTATTAATACTAGGGAAATATAAATTAATTTTAAGCTATCCGTACAGTGCGATTCGAATAAATTTCCACGAATCTAAAACATACATGTATCACGTATCACAAACTTTTATTGCTGAATGTGAAAATCAATTAAAAGTATTTTTTCTTCTAAAAAATATTATTGTGATTTTACGTCAATTTTATAAAGGAGTTACACGAGCTAGTTTTAAATTTGAGAGTGATACAATAAATATTTGCAGTAGTATATTTTGGAATTACGTAGCTTTAATTATCGATTTCTCTCATCCTCTGTTTGGTTTCGTTAAGTAAAGGATTCAAAAGGGCGGATATACATTCTCGTCCTAGCGAAGAGCGAATTAGTTAGGCCGAACACAATGAACATTCATGAAGATAGTTATCAAAGTTGCTGTTACAGCTGGATTATGCTTGACTATGTACAAAATTTATACAATGTATAAAAATCGTTCTCGCGTGGCTCGATGGCTAGCACCACCATCATCTTTTTTTTTTCGTTTGACGTTCGTTCGCCTCTGTTTCGTTGCGATTAACGTTTTATTAACTGTTCCAGCACGATGACTACATACATTTGAAAAGGCATGAAACCATGAATGTGAGAATTTAAAGAAATATATATACATATCAAATTTGAATTATTAATTCATTCTCATCCCGAATTTAAAATGTTTTTCCGCGTAAAAGAGCTTTTTACAAGTGAAAGATTATTCGGTAGTCATTGATATTTAATTTTCAAAATATTTTTAGTATTATGTTGTCCGAAAAGTTTCTTTCGCTTTATGAGGAAATAATAGACGCACGACGTTTCTTGTTTTATATTTTGTTTTTATTTCGTCGAATTACGTACGATCCATTTTGTTCTGTTGAGATAAACACCGCGACATTTCACAGACTTGGTTTCACGTTTGTGTGAAGGTGCACTGTTGTAAATAACACGTTTACGAAAGAAAGACACTTTTCGGACAACGCAATATTTAATATTCGTGAATAGACAAATAACTGGAAGGTTGATGGGTGTAAAGGAATATTGACCGTTAAAATCAACGTTCTTTAAAATTAGATTTAGAACCACTAGTTATTATGTAAAAGGTGTCAAGTTTGGTAAAATATTCACAGTATCAAATGTGTTTAAGTATTTTTGTAAATTTTTCGAAGATTATGGACGACTGCTGGATAAGTTAATACGAACGATTCTCGTATCTCGTCGAATAGATTGAACGGATACTTCGATTCCAACCTTGAGCGTCCACCTTTTTGGACCGTTAAATTATCTTAACAATCCGCGTTTTAGTAATATTATTCAACATCACTTATTTGCATAATCAAGTACTTACACTTGAACATTCAGTTCATACAACGAAGGGGGATAATGATAACGATTAATGTAAAACTTCGTAGGAAATGCGTTCAGCCGAAATGTGACCACTAATTTCACTCGTTGTAGTATCTTTTTAACAAGTGCAGCGTAATGTCTGAGAGTCAAACATGTTGCAAAATTGTATCGGCGGTATCGTTGCTAACCAAGTC